AACTGGCGGTCAGTTTCAGCAGTGGCTGAATCTGGATGCCAGTTCCGACTTACATACAGATTCAACTTAAGAACAAACCTACAGTCCCTATCTTGTACGTAACCCGGGGACTGCCTGTATTCATGTTTATCATTAGTATGTATTATATTTTAAACTCCTTATATTCAGTAAAAAGGAAAATGTGCCAATGTATTTTACACTTCCTGCCAAGATATGTGTTTCATATCAACTATTATACATACTATATAACAGGCCTAAATCTTGTAATATGATTCAGTGCAGTTAGGAGCTAGAGTAAAGCTTATTAGCAGATTTAACCTTGTAACACTACATTTTGCAGCAAAGGCGTTTGGCAGATAAGGTAGAAACAAGTCAAACACCTAACTGAATGGCACACATTTTTATTATCCTTTATATTCTACTTCTTTTGTGTTATGAACTGTAATTTGGCAACCTCAAAAGCCATTGCTGTAATATATATTTATTGCTTTAAATAGATTCAATTTCCATTGTATTTTAAAATTCAGCACTCTTCATTCAAAAGTAGAGGAAGCGAGCTTGTCTGGGATCTGTGGACTGTTGTAAGTTTTGTCCATTTTCAGTGGGAAATTCATTAGGGTTGGAAAATTTTTATTTCTGTGTTCTACTAGTTCCCACCACTCTTAGGGTATGTCTATATAGCAACATTATTTCGAAATAACACTCGTTATTTTGAAATAACTGAGTCCGTATCTACATGGTAGGCAGTTATTTCAAAGTCCTCAAACTGGAGGACTTCTTACTCCGACTCCTGTAATCCTCATTGTACAAGGAGTAAGGGAAGTCCGAGGAAGAGTGCTCTATTTTGAAATAAATGCTGTGTAGATGCTCCCAATTTCAAAATAAGCTATTTTGAAATAAGCTAAGCAATTGACATAGCTCAATTTGAGTAGCTTATTTTGTGTTAAGCCTTACTGTGTAGATGCATCTTACTGTGCTTCCTAGTGGACAGGGAGCTTGTTCCTATTATTAGGGTCTTAGCATATATTCATTTGAAAGGGCTTCACTGCCTGTCTTGTCATGTCATATAAGAAACAGAAACTATTTTCTGCAAGATCTATATTTGATATGTGTATTCTTTGAAATTAGCTTCATTGTCTTGTTCCCTCAGATGTCATGCTGTTGGACTCATTAGAAATGAATACATGGATTTCTCTATTTTTTTCCTATCACTTTTGTCACCTTGAAAGATGAGATATAGGGGGAAGATGGTGATTTAGCACATGATTCTTCTTCCTAAAAGAATTTTTCTTCTCCCTTTATTGTTATAATGTAATTTGTATATGTGAGTGTAGAAATAGCATCAAAAGAGAAATATAATTTAGGAAAAGTAAGAACTGGATTCTGATTTCACTTGCAACAGTAAAAATGTAAATTAATCCATTGACCTCCGTGAAATGCCTCTGATTTACAGTGTTCTGAATTAGTACAGAGTCCAGCCTTGTTTTTCTGTGAAACTACAGTGAGATTTCTTTTTCAGATTTTTCAAATAAAAGAAAATATGCTAACAGTTGAAAATTATGATAATCTATAAAATCTTTTTTCAGCTCTGATGAAGCTTTCAGCAAAGTCAATTTAAATTACCGCACAGAAAATGGGCTGTCTCTTCTTCACTTATGTTGTATTTGCGGGGGTAAGTATTTGAACCTTCATACTCTTTAAGCATGTTATTTACATGCTTAGTGATTTGGTCTATTTAATAACCCACAGGAACATTACATTTTTAAACTATTTGCGTTCTTTGCATTGTCCTTGCTAATGCTCAGGAAGGCATTAGCTACAACATTCTTAAACTACTGTGTGACAAAGTGGAGTGGATCCAATTAAACGTTAAACTCCTTTCTAAATAATTTTTTAATATACCAAAAATTCCAATAAATTCCAATGCATATTTAAGTACAGATGTGCAACTAACTTGAAATGAGTGGTTATATTTATTTTGTAATCAAGGTATAGTACTATTTTATATGAAATAGACACATTATAGACATGATGGCATGAAGATTGAATTTTTAGATACTCTTTCCATAGAGATAACATTTCATTTTTCTAATATCGTGAAAATGTTTCTACAACATGGTGAATTAAAATATGATAAAATTAATATAAAAATCAAATCTTCTATACCAGAATGTTCTCTAATGAGATTCTTGCAGATAGCAAACTGCAAGAACAAGAAAAGTCATGAGAGAAATCATTTGGCTACTCATCTGATAGTAGAATTTTACACTCTCGTCTCTGACCCATACTGCAGATCTGTTGTCCAATACTGTTCTCATGCATTTTGCACTTGTTCCACACTATGAAATGAGATCAGCATTCAGAATCAAAGTGAATTTTACCCTAAGGCAGAAGGCACTTAAGCATGTATTTAAATGCTTTGCTGAATCTGTGCCCAGATGTATAATCAGTAAGAACCTGATTATGCACCACTGAAATCAGTGGGAGCTTACCATTAGCTTCAGTGCGTGCAAGACCTGAGAGACCAGGGTTTGTTTTAGGCAGCATGAGAACAGTCTGTTCCCGTTAATGGCTCGATTGTGCCTGATGCTCACTTGTACCATAAGGGGGTGGTATTTTGCCACATGCTGCGAGTTCATTAAGAAATGGATTATTGTGTAGTCACAATGTGAGCTAAATTATGGCAACCCTGTGAAAGAGGGAGAGAGCATCTACAGACCTTTCCCTTCTAGCATAGCTGTGCCAGAGGCATAGCACTTAAGTGAATAAGACAGGTGGCAGGAGATGAGAGAGACCTCATGCCAAAGCTGACTAGTATTCCCATAAACTACTATCTCAGTAACAATAATTTGTAAAGGTGCTGAATGGAGCATCGCCTTTGGAGGGATCAGTTGAGAAGGTAGGTGTCCAGGAAACACAACTTGTGAGGCAGGAAGGGAATGAGGGAGTATCATGCTGACAGAGGGGCCAACAGTTTCAGCAGCCCTCCCAAGCAAGTAGGGGCAGCTCCATGCCCCTCAAAGGGGCAGGGCCTCAGGCAGAAGGGGCAGGGCCAGTGCATCTAGCCTTCAGTGCAGCCCGGACCTGGGTACTAGCCCTCCAACCCTCAGAGACATGTGAAGCGATTCTCTGGCATCAATTTAAAGGGCCCAGGGCACTGGCTGCCACCGCTGCTACAGGAGTTTGTGCTTTTAGCACCTCAAAAATCTCTGCGAAATCCTTCCTCAAAGATGAGAATGAGATTAGTGAGTGAGTCGGTGCCCAGTGCCAGAAGTGTTCCCATGAATGGTTAAACTGTACCTGATGGTGATGGGTGTGCAGGCCACTGTTATCATTCCCCTGTCCTCTTTGGAGTCACTAGCAAAGTCAGAGGATGCCAGGACAGAGAGGAATCCATTTCTTTCCCTTTGTACACCATCTGACATTTAATTCTAACTCCAACTAACACTATCAGTTTCAAGGACTATTGCTTGCATTTTGAATACTGAAAATGTGAATACAAGTGTTGAGATCTGATCTGAGTTTAATAATAAGAAACTGACAATTTTGTAGCCACACCTTTAAGTGTGGAAGCTCTTATCTGATTGCCTTCATTTGCATGTTCTTTTCCGTAAATGATTTCTCTTTCCAATTTTTATTATAAAGGTAACAAATCCCATATTAGAACTCTTATGCTAAAAGGGTTGCGTCCGTCCAGGTTAACAAGAAATGGATTTACAGCTCTGCATTTGGCAGCTTATAAGGTAAATTAGAAATGTGAAGGCAATATGTTTGGTAGTCAGCTCTCTCTAAATTACTAATCCCAATAAAAATCTCTATGCCTTTTATACAATGCATAGGAAAATCACTTATAAATACCTACACACAGGAAAATACTATGGACTTAGCATCTTTCATGAACATTGTTTAATTAAATGTCACAACGTGTCTGTGGGTTAAACAAGCATTCTTATCATTATAATTACAGAAAGAAAGACATTTTCTCAAAACTTTGCTATTTCCCTGCCTTGTTTTTTGACACAATATTGTTTTAGCTGAAGTTCCCCAATTAACTGTAATGTTTAATTTTATTTTACTATTTATTGTATTTATTGTTAAGAGCCGACATTGTTGGTTGGCAATGAATGAAGCAGAAAAATGAAGACAACACCTGTCCCAATGTACTCTTGTGGTTCCCATTTTACAAACAGAGAAACTTAATGCAGAAAGAGAGTAAGTGACTTGTCCGAAGTTACACAGCAAATATATTGGCAGAGCTAGACCTGAAAGTTTCTGGTTTAACTTTCTAATTGCTCACCACAGGACTGTCTTTTCTTTCCTAATTACTGTGCTATTCTAACTTGCTATTTCTTTATTTCTTTAACTAGTTTAATTTTATGACCACTGATAACAATTACATTGACCTGTGTCAACCAAAATACTAAAGATAATCAAATCTGATGCTTCAGGATGTAGGAAGATGGCCTAAAGCAGTCATAAAGAAAACTTTCACTTGTTTGCAATGCTGCACATTAGCTAATTGCCTTCTGGGAATTTTGTTACCTTACTCTCAAGGACAGTGGTGATGACTGATTTGAGAAAATTTTACTTTTTATTTCTTAATTAAAATGATTTGCAGACAGATTCAAATATTCTTGAAAGTAGTTATAGATGGGACTGATTGTTTTAGTTATATTAGTTCATGCTACTTTGCTCACAATTTTCAAGTTTACAGTGAAATAAATGAAAATTAGGAATATACTTAAAGTTGAGCATTTGCTTAAATGATTTCCTGAATCAAGACCTTGGTCACTCGAGTCACACAATATTTTTTCTAGGCTCTGATTAGATTCCATGGAACTAAGCATTGAAAATTTTGAATTTTGAAATCAACTGTACCATCTGAAATTTCTTTTGGAAGACATCTGAAATTTTAAGGCTTTGGTATTTACTAGCCTTTATCATGCCATAACATGTGTGATATTACAGTTATTTTATATAGAAAACATGGGAAAATATAGCCAGATACTATGGTGTAGTAAGTGTTAGTAAAGGATGACTTTAATGGCATTTCCTCTATCTGGGCTATGACCAGGTTACCTACTGAGATTTGATGAGATCATAGCAGAAGTAGGTAGGCTGGACTGAGTTATCATTTGGAAAAGGAATTCCTAGCTTAGGCCATTTTATTTTCAGATTTTATTTTTTCATTAAATTCAGGTTGAAATATTATATGCAATCATATAGCAACATCTTCCAGAGTCCTGGGCCTAAAAAATTGCTTTGATTTTTTAGAATTAAAATTTGGCATTGAGGGTGGCGTTAGGGAATGCTTTGGTTCATGATTTCATACTGAAGTTGATCATTTCTCCAAGAAGGTGAACACACACATTTTGAACACATGGGTCTGCAGTCACAGCTTTACTGCACATTCTGTAATGCCAGTTCATTCATGGACTTGGCTAGATTTTGTATCCCATATAGGATGAGGGAGCTGCGGTAGTGGCATGAGCTTGAGCATTTTCTACTGTTGTGGTCTTGTTGTTTATTATTTATTACTGTAACATGTACGAGCCCTGGACATAGGCTACAACCCCATTGTGCTGAGCAATCAACACAGAACAACAATCAAGAAATGGTCCCTGCCCCAAAGAGTATACAATATAAGTCTAAGATGTGAGACAATGAATGTATACTGACAGACAGCAGAGTACAAGGAAACAATGAAACAATACTAATCAGCCTGACAGGCTGTGTTTTGTGTTCGGCTATTGGATGCAGAATGGTCATTTGAAGATGGTTTATTTCCAGGCTGGCTGACAGGGCCAATTTCTCAGCTGATGTAAATTACCATAGTTCCATTAGAGTCAGCTGAGGATCTGGTTCAGTATAGGAACAAGTCTACTTTTGCTGTTAGAATAGAGGACTGGCTCCTATTCATGGTTCTGGCACTGAATCACTGAGTGACCCCAAGCAAATCTCTTCAGTCCTCTGTGCTTAAGCTTATCCCTTTGCAAATGAGTTCAGTAATATCCACCTCACCTAGATATTGGCCCTTATAACACACATTTGTGAACTGACCTTAGAGTCTCAACAAACTATTATTACTTATACAATTTCCATTGACATTGTTATATCAGGCAGAAAGATCAGCAGTGTTTTAGTCCATTAGGTTGTCAACAAGGAGACTCATACAAAATACCATCCTCATATTCAACACATTATCTTGTGCATTTGTGGGATTATATTTTAAGATCCTGAGAAGCCTTAGTGTGTCCTTCTGGGTTTGACATTCCAATGGTTCTGATACTTAAAATAATCCATGTAAGCATTTAAAGATGGTTTGGAAGCTAAGTGATATTTAAATATCTCACAAAATCAGGGAAATACACTGTTTTAGAGAAGTTTGTATCCCTAACAGTAACATTTGAAATGTGCACCTTGTAGGACAGTGCAGAACTTGTGACTGCCCTGCTGCATGGTGGAGCTGACATTCAGCAAGTTGGATACGGAGCTCTTACAGCACTTCATATTGCTACAATAGCTGGTCATCATGAGGTATGTTTTTCCAATCTATCCAGGAAATGGTGAAAGTGACTGGCACGATTAATTGGCTCATTTATCTTTTAGCGTGTTACTGCTTAAAACACAGACAAAACAGCACATCAATAACTCAGTAAATCTAAGCTTCATTTACTGGCACTTTGTAACAAGTTGGAGAGGCTATTAGGATTTTAAAAGTTTCTCTTGGTATGTGTGTACAGAATATATATGAATGGATATGCCAGGCATATTCATATATCTCCTGCTCTTTGTATCCAATGTCTTAAACATCTTGTTAGGAGCCAATGCCAATGCCATTCCTTTCTTAATATCGAATAGTTTAACAAAGATTTGTGGTGACAGGAATGCATATGGATACAACTTGTGGGATCATTGCTCTCTCCACAGATCTGTGTATCTGAGGGAAGGCTTCTCTTCATTGTAGAAGTGGGGATGCTGTGGAAGCCTCTCTTCCCCTTCTCCAGAGACTGTAGATCATCGGGGCTACTCAACTTTGGAAGCCCCGGGGACCACAATGATACTCACAGCACATGCCAAGGGCCGCAACTTAAGTGTGGTTGCATATACATGCAAATAGATATGCAAATATATGCAAATAGCTTCTTTCAAACTGACGGGCATGACTACAAAGAGTAAGACAAGACTACACAACACACAGGCCCCATTTAAGTCAGTTCTGCTGATATTAATAAAATGCAATATTTACCTGATTTCCACCTATATGACAGCACTTTTAATGAGCAATGACAGTCCAGGAATTTAAATACTAAACCGCATATCAACAGAAGATCATTCTATTGACTTCTTTTTTGTTTTGGCTCCCACCCTTGAGCCACGTGTTAAGCCCCACATAAACCCAAAGTGCACAGTGGGCCGCAAACAAACAGGCTGCGGGACGCATGTGGCCCACAGGATGCGTGTTGAGTAGCCCTGCTGTAGATTATGCTCCACAAGCTGAGTGCATGTCAGATATTTGGGCTACTCAGATATTCCTGTTTAGTTGTATTATCTTCTCTGTGAATGGTGTCTGGGGATCTCAGGAGCAGCTGCAATCAGGGGAAGTCCCTAATATGTGGGTCCATCAAAGGTGGCGCATTGGCACATGGATAGCCATTGCCTTCTATGGACACTTGAGGTTCCTCCAACCTTAGGCTTGAGCCCTGTGGTCCTCCCTCTCTGACAGAATAATCTGGAGGAACTCAGTGAAGGATTTCTTCCTGCAGAATCTTTTCCTGGGTGGCAGTGGGGGAGGGAGGAAGTAGTTCTGCAGTTCGGTGCTTTTTAGTCCTGAACCTGCTAGTGCATCATTTTTCATCTCAGCCTCAATTCTGTCACTTCTCATATCATCTCATTTGCATTGCCCTGGAAACAATTCACCCAATCTTATTTATTTTTTTAAAAATATATCTTTCTTGAAGCAATTAATGTTACATGTGCAGAATAACTTTTGGAATGAAGAATTTGCAGTTGCAAACATAATCATAAATGCTCAATTACTTGTGTTCTCATTTCCTCTGCTTAAGTTGAAATGACTGACTTTTACAAAACAACAAAACTAGGCTAACCTGTGGAAACAGACACTTCACATTTCCTTAAATAGGGCTTGTAGGCAAGAAATGCAGGATAATAACAAGATGTCACAAAGAAGGTCATGTAGCACACATTGATGACTAGATTGACAGTTGTGTGATCAAAAGCAACGAGGAGTCCTGTGGCACCTTATAGACTAACAGATTTATTGGAGCATAAGCTTTTGTGGACAAAGACCCACTTTGTCAGATTCATGTCAGATGCACAAAACAAATCTTTGCCCACAAAAGCTTATGCTCCAATAAATCTGTTAGCCTATAAGGTGCCACAACACTCTTCATCACTTTGCAGATTCAGACTAACATGGCTACCCCTCTGATAGTTGTGTGGTCAGTAGTGCAGCCATATTCACTTCATTTGCATTTAAAAATATCCACTCTTTGATCTCAATACGAGGATTGCAATTGAAGGTTTCTCCAAGCAACTGTGTGATGCAGTTAAAAAGGCATGTTGAAAATTTGTCCCATGTTATATTAGGATGGCATTCCTCAACCTTCTTCTGTATTCCCCTTTCTTATACAGCTGGGACCACTCAGTTTATGGGAAGGACCAGGAGCGGAGACAACCCTAGGGGAAACACTTGCTTTGGGGAAGGAATTTCTTTCTAAACTTGATATTTTTAAAATACTTTTATTGGAAAGCAACTCAGACTTCAGCTCAGTTCCTAGCAGAGACATGTCAACATCTCCAGAACTAACTCCCTGGTTTGTACTAATTGGAACCTTTGTTGGCATGCTCATTAGAGAGGATAAGACTGAATGAACACAAGGTCCATATAGGTTCATGCTGAAGCACACTGGCGCTATGGGATGTGTGTGTGGGGGTGCAGGTGTTCTGCAACTGAGCAATTTTTTTCAGTCAACCCAGCCCTTTTTTAAACTGCTAAATTCAGCAGGGAGCAAGGTAGGAATGTAAGATTAAATAACTAACACACATGGAAGAGAAAAACAGTACAGGTTGAACCTCCCTAGTCTGGCACCCTCAGGACCTGATGGTGCCGAACCAAAGAATTTGCTGAGTCACAGGAGGTCAATATTGTTTAGGGGTATGTCTACACAGCATGCTTATTTCAAAATAAACAATTCCGGAATAGTTATTCTGAAATAGTTTATTTTGAAATAGCACATCTATACTGCAGGGAAGCCTCAAAATTAGTCTGAGGCAAGCTTCCCTAATGTAGAAGTGTTATCTGAATTTAGAGCCCCAAGAGGCACTGGGGAGGAATAACTTAGAATGGCCCTGCTGAGGGACTATTTCAAAATAGTAGCAGTTGAACATCTACTCATGCCTTATTTTGAAATAGGTATTTCAGAATAGGCGTTATTCCTCGAAGAATGAGGTTTACAGATTTTAGAATTTTTTCAAAATGACAAATGGCTGTGTAGATGCTTGCATTATTATTTTGAAATAACACTAGTTATCTCAAAATAACGGTGCAGTGTAAATGCACCCTCGCAGCATTACCAACCCTTCCACTGCTTGCTGGACTCTTTAGTAGACATTTAATGGTAAATTAGAGCTAAATAATAACACAGAACACTGAGAGCTGGTGGCTGTAAACAAGCTTTATGGGACTGCAGGACACTTGGCCACACCTATGATAAGTGGAAATCCAGCTAACTAAAACTATGCTGAACCATGGATGTTGCCAGACCAGAGAGTGCTAAACTAAAGAAGTTCAACCTGTACTGTGAAAGTACTTACTGTAATGACTGTAAAGCTTTTCATGATATAATTAAAACAAGGAAGTTCAGATATAAGATTTAAAATGTCATTTATCTTGCATTACAAACATCACCAAAATTGACACTTAGAAATTGTAATGGAATTGTTTATCCCACAGACTTTGAAAATTTCAGAAGCAATAAAATTGTGTTTATATTTTCATGTGGCTGCCATCTTGGGCTCACTCCACTTGTGAACTTTTGAAACAGTCCTGTTTACTCGGAAGGCAAGTCAGCTCACCTCTTTACTATCTCCCTTTGAAATCAGGGGAACTTTAATGCTTAGCCTGTTAGGAGTGTTTTTAATGTTATATAAGCACCCAGCTGCAGCTTAGGTATCTAAAATACCTTGAATATTTGGCACTGTCTAAAACTTTATGTGCTGCTTATCACAATGGGCCTCAATTCTGTCTGGAGTCTCTAGGCACTAACATAATGTAAATATTAACTACAGCAACCTTCTCCCAGGGAAATTTAAATGCACTTCGCAAAACCAGCACCAGCAATATTCACTTCCTCAGCACTTCCAATAGAAACAGAAATTCTGTACTCTATTAAGCTCTGTCTATAGTCATATTCTGACCATAGGAGCCCTACTGGTGGAGACTGACTTGTGAAAGAGCTGAATCATACCATAGGCGAACTATGACTTTGACACCCACTCACGCCTCCCCTCCCAAACACACATTCAATATAGAGAAAAATGAGAAGTTGATGTTGAAATGTTACCTTTATTTATATGCAAATCTAAATAAACATAGATTTTCCCTACTTTTCATTTAGGGTACGTCTAGACTACATGCCTCTGTCGCCAGAGGCATGCAGATTAGGCTACTAGGCATAGGAAAATGAAGCGGCAATTTAAATAATCGCCGCTTCATTTAAATTTACATGGCTGCCACGCTGAGCCGACAAACAGCTGATCAGCTGTTTGTCGGCTCAGCGTGGTAGTCTGGACGCGTGGGGGTCGACATCAAAGGCATTTGTCTCATCCCAGGAGGCATACCTGGGTGGCATACCTCATCACAGGAGGCATACTTGGGTGGTCGACAAATGCCTTTGATGTCGACACCCGCGCGTCCAGACTACTGATCAGCTGTTTGTCGGCTCAGCGCGGCAGCCATGTAAATTTAAATGAAGTGGCGATTATTTAAATCACCGCTTCATTTTCCTATGCCCGGTAGCCTAATCTACATGCCTCTGGCGATAGAGGCATGTAGTCTAGACGTACCCCTAGTCTCACACAATTATACTGTATAGGATAAACCACCCAGTAACTGACACTTTAAATATGCAACTGTTTTGGGTTGTACACAGTGTTTCTGGGCAGCGCTATAAACAGTTGCATTTTGAGTTGTAACTATCTTCCTTCCAAAAGAACTGATTTTGGGGAAGCTGTGAAAAACTTTATTTCTTGATACCGAAGGATCACTTCAGCATTATCTTCAACAGCAGATTTTGAAGCATCTATAAAATGGATGATCATTGTCATCTGCTTGATCTGACTTGCATCTGGTGTGCAGTCCAGAATAATTAAAATGTATTTTGTACATGGGGCAGCTTCTAAGATTTTCTCTTAAATACCATTTACTAGACATCGAATCAGCTCATTCTCCAGTTTTTTTCCAAAGTAATGAACCTGAGTTTCTTGGTCACTTATTTTATGCAGATGCCCTTTTG